AAGAATGGGGGGGCGGGGCTGAGAAAGTGGCAGAATAGCAGAGCTATAGAGGACGGGGGATTGGGGTGGGGATATGATGCTGACCCCACCGACTGCTCAGTGCCAGCTCACACTTCTCCTTCGCGCACACACCCCCACCCCCCCCCCCCACCCGCCCGCACACACCCCCCCCCCCCCCCGTGTGCGCACACACCCCCAACCCCACCCCACCACGCGCGCGCACACGCACACACCCCCAACACACACACACCACCCTGCAACACACAATCCCCACATACCACACCACCGATCCCCGCCAACCCCCCACACACACCCCTCCCCACCCCCCTCACACACCGCCACCCCGCCCCCGCCCCCGTCCCCACACACACGTACTTACATGAACTGGCATGTTGAAGTAGTCAGACTTGAAGGTATCTGCCATCTCACCAAAACTTTGCAGGGTATATTCTCTCGTCGCCTGCTCAAAGCCAAAAGCCTCGGCTGGTTTCTTACACTCCTGTCGGGGAGGGAGGCACACGCTGTGTTAGTGGGAAGAGTGAGAGAGCAGGAGACTGTGAGAGTGAGCGACAGAGCTGCCTGATAGGAGGTGTGGACTTATCCATGTCACCGAAACCCGCTCACCCCTGGATCTCTCTCTCTCAACCCTTCAGCTCCTTCCCGAAGTGCAGGGCCAGAAGCCCAGGCCCCAGGCTAGAATCCTTACAGTGTGAAAACAGGCCCTTCGGCCCAACAAGTCCACACCGAACCTCAGTGCATCCCACCCAGACCCATCCCCCTATAACCCACCTAAGCTACACATCCCTGAACACTATGGGCAATTTAGCATGGCCAATCCATCCAACCTGCACATCTTTGGACCGTGGGAGGAAACCGGAGCACCCGGAGAAAACCCACGCAGACACGGGTAGAATGTGCAAACTCCACACGGACAGACAAGGCTAGAATCGAACCTGGGTCCCTGGTGCGTGAGGCAGCAGTGCTAACCACTGTGCCACCGGCTAGACCAGTATCTGACACACACCCAAGCACCAGCTCCCTGCTCCTGCGCCCCATGCCCCCGTGGCTGAAGCTTCAGATCCCAACAACGTAATGAGCTCCCTGTTCACCTGGTCCTGCCACTGTGATGACTTGTGTAGCTGCGCTCCCTTTGCTCCTACACCCTTTCCAATTCCTCCCAACCACCAGGTGAAGATCTAACTTGTTGACAGACTACGGGGAACTGAGCCCAGGGCTCACCTGCCCCATCAACTTTCTTTCGTTTCCCTTTCAGGCTGGAGGGTGATGGGCAGCCTCCAGGGGCAGTGGAACCAGGATGAGCCAGACACGGCTCCATCCCAGCCCTGGGTGGGGGTGTCTCCTGGGGAGTGAGGAACAGGTCCCAGGGTGACTCTCCTGGTCTGGAACTGCAGGCTGAGCCTGGGCATGTGAAGGGGTGGAAGCGTCGGGGAGCGGTACAGATGGCGGATTGGGGGCTGCGTCTGCCAGGGGGAAAAAGGAGGGTTCTCCCAGCATGGCCAGGCCTGGCAGTCTCAAAATGACTCCATCTTCAGGGTAGTCCATCAATGCTTATTTGTCTTTCCCTGAGCCCAGGAGCTGCTCACTGACTGTGTTGGCTCAGGCGGTGAGGAAAGATAACAGCATGCTGGCCTTCATAGCGAGAGGATTTGAGTATCGGAGTAAGGATGGCTTGTTGCAATTATACTGGTGAGGCCACATCTTGAGTTCTGTGTGCAGGTTTGGTCTCCTGGTCTGAGGAAGGCTCACCAGACTGATTCCTGGGATGGCAGGACTGACAGTTGAGGAAAGACTGGATCGACTGGGCTTGTACTCGCAGGAATTTAGAAGAATGAGGGGGAATTTCATAAAAATGCATAAAATCCTGACTGGACTGGACAGGCTAGATACAGGAAGAACGTTCCCGATGTTGGGGAAGTCCATAACTGGGGAATCATCGTCTGAGAACAAGGGGTAAGCTATTCAAGGACTGAGATGAGGAAGAATTTCTTCAGTCAGAGAGCTGTGAACCTGTGGAATTCTCTCCCACAGGAAGCTATTGGGGCCAGTTCATTAGATATATTCAGGAAGGGGCTGGACATGGCTCTTGTTGCTAAAGGGATTTTGGGGTATGGGCAGAGGGTGGGAATGGGATACTGAGAACGGTCTACTCCCGCATTTATTTTCTGCATTTCTATGCTGAACTTTGTCTTAATTTTACATTTTTTAAAATCATTCTGTTTGTCCTCTATCATTAACAGAGGCGCCATGTTGGGGCAACTTTTAAAACATTTCACTGTATCTTTCGTGGTAAAGTACGTGGGACAACACATTCCAATTCTACGGAGATCTTCGGAACATGCTCCCTACCTCGACCACACACTTGGGACATCTCCAGTCTCCTTTCGGGATCTCCGGGAGAGGTGGGATGAGGCAGAAGGTGTGGTAACTGTCCTCACAGCCTTCACACAGAACCAATTTCTCCTCCTCCACACGCCGGGAACAGATTATACAGATGTAGGAGTCAGCCTGCAAACCCAACAGAAACGATGTTCAGGGACAGCCAGATGGGAAGAAATGGAGCTGGGGAAGCTTGATGGGGCGGGGGAGAATTGCGAGCCACGGCACCAGACTGCTCAGAGGCAGAGATGGTGGCTGTGGAAACGACTGGGTGAGGGAGAGGAGTACTGAGGGAGAGAGCGGGGGACCCCAAGGGGAGGCAGAGGGGGCAGTGAGGGAGGGAGAAACCAATAGAGAGGGTCCATGCTGGATGTGACAGAGGCTGCAAATGGAGAAGTGAGATGGAAGGGAGCCCTGGGTCAGTAGGGTATGACAGCAGTTGAGAGGGGCAACAACAAGAGACAGAGAACACCAAACAGTGCGCTAAAACCTCAAACATGTGAATGTTCATACACAGCGCTGACCCTCCGACAGCGCGGCGCTCCCTCAGCGCTGACCCTCCGACGGGAATGGGTTACGGTTTGCCAAGTGGAAAAGATGCCTGTTGTTACTTACAAACTGAGGTGATGTGGCTCCCTTCCGCAGCCTCATGGTCCTTTTGCTGCAGGTGTCAGCAACCCCTTTCTCCTCTTTGATCAGCGGGCAGTGCTCCAGCGAGTATTCCAGCTTTGGTTCAGCCACTATCTCCTCCTTTACCACCAGCGTGGGGGGGCAGTCGAGGCAGTCCTTGTCTGGTGACAAGAGGAGGCAGTGAGACCGTCACCTCCCTCAGGTCGGGGGCGGGGTGGGGAGGAGTGGGGCAAAGCTTCTTTCAGAAACTGTTACATTCATTCCATCACATAACACGGTGAGGTCACTGTTGAGATGCTCCTCATTGCCCCTTGAACAGAGAGTCTCACTCCTGCCCTTTCAGGGGGCAGTTAAGTGTCACCCCTGAAGTGTAAAGGGATGGGGGAGAAAGCAGAGGGACAGGGGGCTGAGTTGGTTGATCAGCCATGATCTTATCGAATGGCTGAGGAGGTTTTAAGGGCCTAATGGCCCAGACCAGGCGAGGGAGGGCAGAGATCCCTCCCCCCTCGATAAATGGTATTTTACCACACTCCGCGCCATCACCGAGACTGGCATTCGATCCCAGAGTTTATGATTTGGAACTCACTTTCACAGGCACTGTGGTGGGGTTTTGGTGACCCCTGGGTCCTCACAATTACCAGCCCAGTGACAGCGACACACTGTCTCCCCATGAACACCAGGGAGTCAGCATTACTGCCTGATGGGGGGGGCAGAGTCCCTTTGGGAGAGTTGGGGCACCTTTACCCACACGACAGGTTTGGGGGGGGCGGGGAATGGGGCAGAGCGAGAGAGTGACAGAGACACGTATACAGCAGCCGCTGCCGCCATGGGAAGTGGGCTGTGGAAGTGGGCTGTGGGTAAACACCTACCTCTCTTCCTGTTGGCTCGGTCTTTTACCACCAGCCCCAGGCCCACCATCTTGGGGCCGGCTCCGTAAATCTGCAGCTTCTTCAGCTCTGGGTTCTTGGCGATGTCAGCCTCTGTCGGCTCCGTCTTGGGAAACAGGGAAAGAGGAACACGGTGAGGATGGCCAGGAATCACAGCATGATCCTGACCTGGGAGCGAGGACAGGTCGGCTACCTAGAGAGCTGCCCTCCTCCTTCCCTCCCTCCCTCCCTCCCTCCCTCAGCCTGCCTGCCCCTGGAACTGAGTGCAACATTCCCCTCACTCCTCATACTCCTGATGACCCACTGACATCACAGATTAACCAACAGTGAGAAGCACAGATTCACACTTGCTCAGCTCTATCGTTATTTAACACTGGCAGCGTTGGCCCTGACAGCCCAAGCAGCCAAACAGTTCCACCAGAAACTGGAGCAGGTGGCAGCCATTCTGTCCCTTTGAACCTGCCCTGCTATCCACTACCATTGGGATTGACTCTCGTTTCCCCAGATCACCATCACCCCTTGGAACCAAGCTGCACCCCAGCCCCAATGATGGGAGCTCTCACAACCCTCCATGATTGAGACTTTGCAGATTCACAACCCTCTCCGAGCCCCTTCAGAACCTTGCACATCCCAATGAGCTGCCCCTCTTGTTCATTCAGAGTTCCAGGGGGATGTCAGTCAGATTTACCCAGCACCCCACCCCAGGGGCCACAGGAACCTTTGCTGTACAGTGTCTGTCAGAGATACATCTTTCCCAAAAGGTGCAGACCAGAACTGCCCAGAGGGAGTACAATGGCAATTTAATGTGACTGGTTGCTGGGGCGAGGGACTGCCCTGTACAGTAGCACAGGTTTGTCTACGACGTTAGCTCACAGCTCGAGCACTGTGTGCCGTTCTGGTCACCACACTACAGGAAAGATGTGATTGCACTGGAGAGGGTGCAGCAGAGATTCACCAGGGTATTGCCTGGGACGGAGAGACCGGGCTACAAAGAGAGACCCGATAGGCTGGGGAAGGTCGGCGAGGAGTCTGATTGAGGTGTACAAAGTTCTGAGGGGCACAGAAGAAACGTTTCCCCCTTTAATAGAGGGGTCGATACCAGAGGGAACACAGTTTGAAGGTCAGGAGCAGGAGGTTCAGAGAGAATTTCTTTTTCCCACCCAGAGGGTGGTGTATATGGGGAACTCACTGCCAGAAAGCGTGGGAGAGTCAGAGAGACTGAAGTAGTACTGGGATGAAACACCACAGCAGACAAGGCTACAGGCCATGAGCTGGGAATGGGCTTACAGTAGGCAGTTGTTTGACGACCAGCACGAACACAATGGGCTGAAGGGCCTTTTTCTGTGCTGTTATAAAACTCTATGACTCTCTGGAGGACCAAACCATGAGACTGAATGTGTAAAGTTCTGAAGGGGCTCTGACAGGGTGATGCTGAGACTATTTCCAAGCCAAACACTCCCCCACAGGTAGGAGAGCCCAGGGCACTAAGGGCTGGAGAAGAACTGCATCGAGGCAATGGGGTTCAGCTGGAATAGCAGCTGCCATTGCACTGGACGGGGCTGAACGGTCCCCTCTAAAGGTAGTGTGTCCGAGCGCTTTCTCCTTGTGACCCCAAGTGGCTGACAGCCGGGGTGGGGGGGGCACACGTGAGTACGTGTGTGCCTGTGCAGAAGGCCGTGACCCACAGCTTAGGAGACTCTGTTCTAAACTAAATGGGAGCTCAGGGGCACAGCCTTCACACTACCCAGATACAGAGAGACAGACACGCTCATCCTCTGAAGTAAGGATGGTGTAAACCTCTCCCCAGGCTCCCTCGAACATGGTCACAGACTCCCTGCGATGCTGTGGCTACAACAGTCGGCACTGCAGCTGCAGGATGTGTGGGCCACTGGCCTGGCCAGGCCAGGATTTACTGCCCCTCAAGGTGGTCATGGTGGTGGTGAGCTGCCTTGCAGTACCATCGGGGAGTAAGTTCCCAGGGTTGTGACATTGAAGCTGCTACCGGAGGAGCCTTGGAACAAATGGTAGGTGCTGAGACGATGATGGGAAAAGTTGGGAGTTACATCAATCCCTGCTGGGAGCAGGAATGATAGGAAAAAGGTGTCAAAGATATGCTGCCCCTCAGAAACTGAACTGGACTGGGGCGGTGCACTGGCTCAGTGGTTAGCATGGCTGCCTCCCAGCACCAGGGACCCAGGTTCAATTCCAGCCTCGGGTGACGGTCTCTGTGGAGTTTGCACATTCTCCCCGTGTCTGCGGGTGTTTCCTCCGGGTGCTCCGGTTTCCTCCCACAGACCAAAGATGTGCAGGTTAAGGTGGATTAGCCACGGTAAATTGTCCCACAGTGTCCAGGGATGTTCGGGCTAGGTGGGTTAGCCATGGGAAATGCAGGATTACGGGATTGGGTAGGGGGCGAGGCTGGTGGGATACTCTTCGTAGGGTCATTGTGGATTCAATGGGCCGAACAGCCTGCTTCCACACTGTGGGGATTCTATGATTCTACAATACGAACAGCCTACAAGACAAACACGGAGAATGCTTGAGAAACGCAGCAGCTTCTGTGGAGAGAGAAACGCAGTACAAAAGACAAAGGGTTTACTGGTGTTGAAAGAGAGAGAGAAAGAGAAAGAGAGATCGTAAACTGGGTGTAAGTTAAGGCGTGAACGGGAGAAAATGAGTCCTCTGTATCTCCCAGTCCATCTGAATAACCCACCTTGCTCTCTCCCTAACATTGTTTTCCTGGGGCTACTGCCACGTTCCAACAAACATGACCTGTTGGACTATAACTTGGCAAAGTGTAATGTCTGACCACACTCCAACAAAGCACAACACGAGCCCAGGGAGCAAAACCTGGTTTCCCACTTTACAGCCTTGACATTTCAATATTGAATCCCACAACTTCAGAAACTGTCTGCAATATGTCTGTTGACAACAAGGTGCAGGGCTGGATGAACACAGCAGGCCAAGCAGCATCATAGGAGCAGAAAGGCTGACGTTTCGGGCCTAGACCCTTCATCAGAAAAATGCAGTATGTCTGTTCTCTGTTTTGCTTCCATGTTGCCTCCCCACCCGGCACCAACAGCCTCGTCTCCTGTTTACTTTGCCGTTAGTACACAGAATCCATTCCTGCCCCGTGCATACCTTAATTTGCATCCATTTGAAGATCCCAGGGAGAGGAGTGGGCCATTCGGCCCCTCGAGCCCTGTTGCACCATTCAATGAGATCCTGGCTGATCTTTGGTCTCACTCCATATACCTGCCTAGGGTCCATACCCATTAATATAGTGCTTAATAAAAGTTTCTCTCTTTCAGATTTAAAATTAACAATTGATCCGGTATCCACAGCTGTTTGTGAAACCGAGTTCCAAACCTCTACTGAAATAACTCCACAGAGACTGGTATCCTGTCAGCCTTTATTTACATGTGGGAAGTCCCGGACTCTGGTCCACCTCCTTCACAGCCAGGTCTCAGAGTGTGCAGAACCCCGGTCACACTGTCAGCCAGGGCTCCCTGATTCGGGCTGTTAACCTGGTCTAAATGATGAACTCAGATTCGATAAGGTCGAGCTGACTGACCTCATTATAATCAGTGCATCTCACCCCCAACCCCCCCCACCCCTCTCTGTGTGGGGTACCTTCTGAAGGAAGGTCACTGCACCTCAAAATGCTCACTGTTTTTCTCTCTCTCTCTCCACAGATACTGCCGATCCTATCCAGCAGCTCTCTGTGCTTGTTTCAGATTTACAGCACCTGCAATATTTTGACTTTAGAAGAATCAACAACAGCAGGTCAGAGGCTGGGAATCCTGTGGTGAGTAACTCCCCTCCTGACTCTTCCACCCAAAGCCTGTCCGTCCATCGACAAGGCACAAGTCAGGAGGGTGATGGAATACTCCCCACTTGCCCTGGATGGGGGCAGCTCCAACAACACTCGAGAAACTCAATGCTATCTAGGACAAAGCAGCAATCCACACTCCCCCGCCGAACACACACACACTCGAGTGACTCGCTAACACCCACCTTCAGTACTCCCTCCACCGCCGACGCACAGCAGCAGGTGTGTACCGTCTACAAGACGCACTGCAGTGACTCACCAAGTGGTGGCAGGCTCGTCAATGTGGCAATGGTCTTAACTAGCAATACCCACATTCCAAGGCTGGCCACAGTAACAGAGAGAGTAAGAGTAGGTCATTCAGACCTTCAGTGGATGTAAATTGGGAGGGGAGTGTTCTGCAGCAGGACCTGGGTGTCCTTGTGCACCAGTCGCTGAAGGTAAGCATGCAGGTGCAGCAGGTAGTAAAGAGGGCAAATGGTACGTTGACCTTCATTGCAAAAGGTTTTGAGTACAGGAGCAGGATGTATTGTTGCAGTTATACAAGGCTTTAAGTGAGGTCACACCTAGAATATTGTGTGCAGTTTTGGACTCCTTTTCTGAGGAAGGATGTTCTTGCTCTCATTGGAGTGCAGCAAAGGTGTACCAGGCTGATTCCGGGGATGGTGGGTCTGACGTATCAGGAGAGGTTGACTAATTTAGGATTGTTCAGACGAATGAGGGGAATCTCAGAAACTTATAAAATTCTTACAGGACTGGACACAGTAGATGCAGGGAGGATGCTTCCAATGGTGGGTGCGCCCAGAACCAGGGGTCACAGAATGAGGATGCGGGGTAGACGATTTAGGACGGAGATGAGGAGACATTTCTTCACCCAGAGAGTGGAGAGCCTGTGGAATTCATTACTACTGGGAAGTAGTTGATGCCAAAGTATTGAATGTGTTCAAGAGGCGGCTAGATATAGTACTTGGGGCTAACGGAATCAAAGGTTATGGAGAGAAAGCAGGATTAGGCTATTGAGTTGGACGATCAGCCATGATCATGAAGAATATTTTACACAGAGGGTGGTACACATATGGAATGGGCTTCCAGTGGAAGAGGCTGAGGCGGGTACATTAACAATTGGATGAATACATAGATAGGAAAGGTTTAGAAGAATATGAGGCAAGTGCACAGAAATGGGGCTTGCATGGATGGACATTTTGGTCGGCATGGACCAATTTGGGCTGAAGGGCCTGTCTCCATGCTGTAGGACTCTATGAATCTATAACGGCAGAGCAGGCTGGAAGGGCCGAATGGCCTCCTCCTGCTCCTATCTTGTATGTTTCTGTGTTTCAAGCTTGCTTTGCCCTTCCAATAGGATCATCCAACCCGTCCCTTGCTGCTCTCTTCTCCCATAACCTTTGACCCTGTAGCCCTAAGAACTGTGTCTAAGTCCTTCCTGAAAATATTCTGCAGATAAGTGCGGCCTCTCATGGGATGGGGCCTTCACCAACTGGGCCAACATTCACCAGCCTTCCCTATACAAATGTCCCCAAATGTTTGACGGGGCTGGTTCAGGGAGTTAAATGTAAGTCCAGAGTGGGTGAGGATGGCAGACTGCCGTGCCCAAAGGGCACTGGTGAACCAGAAGGCCTTTCACAACAATCGTTTTGTGGTCAAGTTAACTTCTTAATACCCAATTTTATTTCCCACCTGTGCTCTCTTGTATTTGAACCAGTGCCCCTGGGGTTTCCACTACCAACACCATTAGGACATCGCCAGTCCCCGCTGTCAGTGGTCACTCACCTCAGCCTGCAAACGCTTGGCTCTTCGTCCGTAGCTGTTCATCTTGGAGGGCTGCACCGACTGGCGCAGGGGGATACTGTGAGGTTTGTACTCACGGTCTTTTTCCTCACTGTCAATCTGTGGCCCGGGCTGACACTGCACAAACAGAGGGAGAAAACAGGATCATACTTAAAGTCCGAGCAAGGTCAGAACGTGAACCCTGGGGCCTGGGCCGATTGGATTTGGCACTCAATCACCCTCCGATGGCGCGGCGCTCCCGCAGCGCCGACCCTCCGACGGCGCGGCGCTCCCGCAGCGCCGACCCTCCCACGATGCCCACCCCGGCACTGTATCACTTACTGCTAGGCTGGCTCCAGACTGGAAGGTGTCGAAAGGGTAGATGACCCTCTCGTAGTGTGAGCGCAGCAAGGATCCGATCCCCTTCCCAGGCGGATAGCCCAGCCGCTGGGCCACGCGAGACCATCGCCGGTCGCGACAGATAGCTTCATAGCCACCCTCCTCAATGACAATCTGGGAAAAGACAGCAGAGTGGGGTGAGCAACGCTGCAATGTCAGGCACAGAATTCACTCCTTTCCCAAGGATGGCTCTTATGGAATTCTGGGACCAGGGTAGGGCAATCTTAAACAACAGCAGCTCATTCTCGAGGCTATCCCTATCCCTGGGAGTGTTTGATGGGGAGGGGGGCGGGGGGGAGAACACAGTGTAGAGGAAGCTCTACTCTGTATCTAACCCCGGGCTATCCCTGTCCGGGGAGTGTTTGATGGGGGACAGCGTAGAGGGAGCTTTACACTGTATCTAGCCCCATATTGTCCCGGTCCTGGGAGTGTCTGATGGGGGACAGTGTAGAGGGAGGTTTCTGTCTGAAGGAGTAAAGGGAGGTTTGCTCCGAGTCTAACCCCAGACCCATCTTGTTGCGTTATGGAGAGGATACCTTTCCCAAACCTGCTGGGGGATATGCAGAGCCCCATTGCTGGAGAGGTGCGGAGACCCCAGGCCCCAGGCCCATGACCCTGGTGCCTTTCACTTCCCACTGACATTACCTTGTTCAGACTGTACAAGTCTAAGATTCGCCGCTCCACGTTGGGAATTTTTAATGTGGACCCCTGCAACTCCCAGAACTTGGCGATTTGATCCAGAAAGTTTAACTTCACTCGGGTCTGTGCCTGTTCAGAAACAGAGGGATAAACAATAAAAAAAACCAGCCGAGAGGGTCAGCGGGAAGGTACGGCTTGCTTCGATAACTCAACACAACGGAGCTGGTAGCGAGTGGGCCCCGAACGGGTAAAGGTGCCTCAGGTCTGTACACAGGTTTAACATCCGGAGGGTCTCTCCTCCGACTTCCTTCGCCCAGATCTGCTCAAAGTGGGAAGCTTCCCCTGCATCGATGGAGCCCCACACTGACCCCTCCTGTCCTCCCACCTTCACCCATTTCCTCCACCCACCCCTCTAACCCTGCATTCCCCACGGCCAAATCCACCCTAACCTGCACCTTTGGACTGTGGGAGGAAACCGGAGGAAACCCACGCAGACACGGGGAGAATGTGCAAACTCCACACAAGAGCGCCGCCCGGGGCTGGAATCGAATCCGGGTCCCTGGCGCTGTGACACTGCGGTGCTAATTACTGAGCCACTGTCCCACCAGTCTATGATTCTTCCATTGCCTTACTCTTCACACACTCTCCCCAACCTTGATATTTATAATCTCCCCTGCCCCCTGCCCTGTCATGGAGTCTCTGTTCTTTCTGCGCCCCCCGCTCCCATTCACTTGATGGCCTGGACAGCGATACCCACCAAAGCTGATGAGCCCCTCCCGTGCTGCCCTGTTCCACCTGACTGAAACCAAAGGGGAACCGCCAGACGGTGCTAGTTGCTCGCCCCCTGAGAGCTCACCTCTAACTCGTTCAGGCGTTGGATTCGTGGAGTAAACTTGAAGTTATCAACTTCGACAGCGAACGGGGGCTGCCAGTCCTGCCGGGGTGGAGAGGGGGGAGAGAGAGGGCGGGGGAGAGAGAAAGAGAGAGAGAGAAAGGGAAGGAGAGAGGAGAAATGGGATGTTAGAATCCAAGCTGAACTTCCCTTAAAGGCACACCTCAAGGCTCGTTCAACCAATGCTGGCAGCTTTTATATATTTCCTAACCAACGGCAGTTTCAAATCCCACCCCGCCTCTCCTCCCACAAAACAGAGCCACTACACAACCATTCAAACCCACAACAGATCTCCGTCTTCCATCCACACCTGCCAATCCCAGCACCAACTTTTTAAACCCCCTCTCGGGACGGGTCAGGGTCACCATTTGTTGCCCGCCCCTAGTTGTCCCCTTGAACCTAGTGACCAAGGCCTGTTGGGGCAGAGTTAACTGCCAACCACACGGCCGTGGGTCTGGAGTCACGTGTAGCTAAGGACTGCAGAGACCCCTCCTGGAGAAGGATAGCAAACTAGATGGGTTTTTACATGTCGACCGATGATAGATGTCACACAGTCACTGGCTCTTGATTCCAGATTTTATTTAATTGAGTTTAATTCCAGCTGTTGTTTCATGGCCCCCAAATATACCTTTTTTCCCTGGAGCGTACGAGACTAAGGAGTGACCTCATGGTGGTCTATAAAACCCCCAGAAGTGTAAGGTAGATAGCCTTGTTTCAGAGATAGTAGGAACTGCAGATGCTGGAGAATCTGAGATAACAAGGTGTAGAGCTGGATGAACACAGCAGGCCAAGCAGCATCAGAGCATTTCCGAAGGAGGGTCTCGGCCCGAAATGTCAGCTTTCCTGCTCCTCTGATG